CTGCTGCTCCACTTGGCTGGGCAGGGGGTGTGGGGTGGGGAAAGGCTCCTGCCGGAAACCAGCCTCCAACCTCGAGAATCCCACCCTCCTGGCCTTCGTTTTCCCACCTGGAAAATGGGGCTCATGGTGTTGGATTAGTCAGAGCCCTCCCGAGAAACAAAACCAACAGGGAGGTTGGTTTCTATGACAGGATATATTTTGAGGACTTAGTTCATGCAACTGTGGGGGCCGGAGGGTCTGCATTTGGTAGCAGTGGCCAGGAGACTGGAAACTGCCCAGCGGGAGTCGGTGCTGAGGCTTGAGGCAGTTTCCTCATCTGTTTTGTGCTTAAAACCTTCAACTGATTAGATGAGGCCCACCAGCGTGACTGACATCTGCTGATTGTAGGTGATCATCACACCTCCAGAGTACCTTCACAACAATACCTGAGTTAGTGTGTGATCGCGTGACAGGGGACTGTACCCCGGCACAGGGACGCATAACATGGACTGTCACCCATGGCGTCAGCCCTAGTCTGCTCTGAGAATGGAATGAGAAGGGGCCTGAAGTGCTCAGCTCGGGCTCACAGGGAGGGGTGCGTGGTGCTGGACGGTGGCCCTTATGGTCGTGCAGCGGCGGTAACATCTGGGGCCCTGGGATGTTTCCGGAGCTGTTTGATAGTGGTCCTCAGATTTATCCTTCCGTTCATTCGCTCTTTCCGCCTTCCTTCTTTCCACACACGCACAGAGCCAGGCACTGTTCTAGGCAAGGGGGACCCAAGGGCGACAGAACAGACAGAAATCCCCGTTCCTGGGGTTTTCTTCCCAGTGAGCAGGGCACACAGACAACATGGGAAACCAGGGGATGGTAGGCCGCGTTGAGCAGGGCGTGAGCAAAACCGAAGCAGGGAGGATGCCATGGGGAAGGCTGGTTTCAGACGGGGTGTTGGGGCAGGTCTCCCTGAGGAGGTGAGAGAGTGAGCCTGACAGGTGTAGAGGGCAGGCATTACGGGCGCGGGGACAGTCAGTGCAGGGGCCCTGAGGGGACACATGCGCCCGGCAGGTCTGAAGAGCTGACAGGCAGCGTGGTGGGGGTGGGGGTCCTGTAAAGGGAGCGTCTTCAGCACGGGCCGGGATTTGCAGTCCAGCTCAGCCCCTGCCTCTGCTGAATCACACCTGAGCCAGGCCCTGGTGGGCCGGGGGGCGCGTCCAAACTCCTGCCACAGCAAGGGCCAAACATACCATTGGGCAGCCCTCACAGGGCCAGCCATACTGACAGCCACAGAGCAAAGCAGGACAGCCAGACACTGGGGAGCTGTTTAAGGACTCATTAACAAGGCCCAGGCGCAGGTGACGGGGCATGGGTGAGGACGGGAAGCCCGGGTACGCCCCACTCGGGGAGCGGAGGGCAGGCAGGGCCCACCCATGTGGCCAGCTTGAGCAGGCCCTGTCTCTCTGCAGGGGCCTTCAAGAAGTACAAATCACTTTGGCGACCAGACTGGGGGAGGCAGAGGAGAAAATCAAAGTCCTACATTCAGGTACGCTGGGGCCGGGCGTGCAGCCGAACCCACAGGTGAGGGACGCACTGAGGAGAGGTGAGGTCTCGACAAACTCAAGACAGCCCTTGCCTTAAGGAGCCGCTGCTCAACCCCAGCCGGACTCCGCCATGTTGTCCTGTGTGGCCTGTTCCTTCCATTTTCCTAGAGAAATCAGGAATCTGGAAACAGAAATCTCCACTCATACACAAGAATCTGTTGACCTCATTGCTCCTTCCTGTGGGAACCTCGGGGTGGGCTAGATTCCTGGATGGAGGGCCCCACACAAGTCCTGGAATGACTTAAGGGTGTTGGGGGGCTCATACTCCAGGCCACAGAACGGGTAGCACTCTGTCCCGGGCCCCAGCTTGGGTCCCCTCATCTCTGCCCTGGCCATCCCAGCCACCCCAAAGCCCTCCCACCAGCTAGAAGCCCTTCCAGACAGAAGGCTCCCCACCTGGGCCAGCTCTCAAACGAGTGCCTTCCTTCAGTTTCCGACCCTCGCTCTGCCCTCCCTGCCACAGAGGGGGTGGGTTCCACCTCCCCGGGAGGCCCACCCTCCTGCCCGCGGTCAGGGCTCACTTGGCTTTTACTCTCCCAGCGTTAAAGGCCACACAGACAGAGCTGCTAGAGCTGCGGCGGAAATACGACGAGGAGGCAGCGTCCAAGTGAGTAAGGCCCTGAGCTGCGCCCAGGGCCCCAGGGCAGCCTCTGCCCTCCTACCTCTGCGACAGCAACAGCGACAGGCCGTTCACCCTGCCCGGGGCCTCATTTCATTAAGCACCTCTGCCCCACCCCAGAGACACGGGGCCATCTCCACACCACAGCACGCTCCCACGCTACAGGCCATGAGGCATATCCTGGGGCCTGGCCAAGCCAGGATGCTGGGCAGGCCCCCAGCAGCCCCAGTCGCCAGGAGGCTATTCCCACCCCCAACTCCACCATCCAACCCTCCGGGCCGAGCTACTCCGCACTGACACACTTCCTTACTGGGCACCTGCCGTTTATCCTGGAGAGGACGTTAGAGCAGGACCCTGAGGAGCCGGGCGAGAGCTGGCATGGGGTGACAGAGCCCATGCCACTGAGCCCAGCTCAGCACGTGTAAATGCTCCAAAGGAAAAGCCAGGGACAGGAAGAGTAGCAGAGTGGGGTAGGCCCCATGCCCGGTGACCGGGAGGGTCCCTGAGGAGGAGGCTGTCAGGATGAGATGGCCGTGTGAAGGCTGCTGGGCAGGGCACTCCATCGCGAGACTCTCGGGTTGAGGCAGGGGCCAGGATGTCAGGATGGACAGGGCCTGGCAGCTGCCAGAGCCCTCCCTCAGGCCTCCTCTTTGTATCTCAGGGCAGATGAGGTCGGGCTGATCGTGACCAACCTGGAGAAGGCGAACCAGGTGAGGAGGTGGCTGGCTGGCGTGGTCGGGCGGGTGGGGATCGTGACGGCTACTGCATGCCGTGCTGTGCAGAGCGTGGCCTGCCCTCACGGAGCTCCTGGGCAGGGCAGGGGCAGCGGGGGGCAGAGGTGCTGGAGCACTTGGAAGCAGAGCAGCTTGGGCAGCACCTGGCAGGGAGGACGTCCTGGAGGAGGGGATGGAGCTAAAGCCTGGAGGATAAACGATAGGTGGAGGGACGGACAGGACAGCCTTTCCAGCCAGGGGACGGGCACAGGCAAAGGCAAGGGGGAGCCCGCAGGGAACCGCGAGCCAGCGTCCCCTCCATGTCTCCTGGCAGCAGGGGACAAGGCGAGGCGGACCCCAGCACCCAAGTGCCCACCCCCAGGCTCAACTGGGACAGCGTGGGCCTCTCCCAAGCAGCAAAGGAGCTGGGGTGGCGGCAGGGACCAGCCAGAGACCACTCTCCCCCTCCTGCCCACCAGGGCTGTCCTCGAGCCTCCTCCCTCAATGCCAGCCACGCCAGCAGAGCACCAGGGCAGAGAACCCTCCATCTTCCCTGGGGTCCCCTGTCTTCTAGTCTCAGCCCAGCCCCGAGCCTTCCTGTTCACATTAGACGTGTGGTTCCTGCCTCCCCTGACTTCAGAGGCACTGCCCTCTGGTGGGCCAAGCCCAGCAGGACTTAGAAGAAGTTGAGCTGTGGCCACCAGGCTTTCCTGTGGAGCCGCCTGTGCCCACCACATCTGTCCCCTGCTCCCTGCAGCCCGCCTGACCTGGAGGGGCCGGCAGGACCTCAAACCCTCTGTAGCTGGGCCTGTTTCCCTGGGGTGAGAGAAGTTACCCAGCCACCCGAGGGTCTGCAGGGCCGGCAGTGTGGCAGAGCAAGCAGGCATTTCCTGGGGAGTGGAGGGAGGCCTCTTGGAGGGGACACTGAAGCTGAGCTTAGATTCCAGGGGCTATTCCTGAGGAACGTGCAACAGGGCAGAGGCACAGAGGCGTGGCTCTGTGGGCAGAATGGCACTCCCTCCTGCAGAGGAAACCTGGATGAGGGCTGGTTCTAAGTCCCTGGCCCCCAGGAAACCTGTAACAGACAAAGCAGGCCCAAGCTGAGCCACCCTCCACGCCCACAGGGCAAGAATCCACTGAGCCCAGGACTGTGCAGGCAGTGCTGAGACCTGTAACTCCTCCCCCGGCCCCAATATGAACAGTGTCTCCTAGGAGAATCAGGGGGCCCAAAGATGGGTCAGGTGACAATGACAGCAGTGGCCACAAGGGCTCTTCTGGGCTTAGCTCCTGCATATTTTTCTGACACTGTTAAAAGAGCCCCTTTTTTATATAGAATACATGGCATTTTTAGTTTAAGGGTTTTTTTGAGTTTTTTGTTTGTTTAAGAGGTTTTTGCTATAGGGTGCATGCACTCACCAGAAAGACAGAGAGAGACAGAAAGTGAGAAATCACCCCCCCAGGGGGGATGGCCATGCCACAATCCCTTCTCCTCCAGTCTCCTCTCAGGATCCTGAGCACGCACGCACACGCGCCCAGTGTGCATTTAAGCCACCAGGTCCAGGACTTGAACCATGGTCGACTACATGGGAGTCCAGCAACATAGCCATTACGCCAACTGCTGGTCCCTTTAGTTTAAGTTTTTAAATAGGTAATCCATTTATATGGTTCAAAACACCAAAGGCTGCATACCTAAAGGCACCCAGGAAACTGTCTCTTCCCCCAGGTCCCCTCCCTGAAGCACCCTCTCCTACCAGTATCTCGGATCTCCTAGAAACATTGGTCTATGCACGGGCACAGTAATATGTCCATTTTTAACCTTGTTTAAAACAAAAACAAGGGGCCGGCAGGTGGTGTAGTGGCCAAGGTGCTGGACTCGCACATGGCCAAACACAGTTTGACGCCCCCAGACCTAACAGCTTAAAAATCACGTTGTATTCATGTGCATGCCCAAAATTCTACGAGAATGGAGAAGGGATTGTGGAGTGTCCCTCCTCATGGGGGGTGAATTCTTGCTTTCCCTCTTACTGTCTCTCTCTCTGTCTCTGTCCAGTGAACACATACACCCTGTGGCAGAAACCTAAGAACAGAAAAAATGAGAACAGTAATACACTGCATTTCCCATCCTGAGCCTCACCTTTTGCACATTTGTACCTTAGGACTCATTCCATATCAGTAAAGCAGTCCTTCCTCCATTTTTTATAACTGCGTAGTGTTCTACTGAGTGGAAACACCATTGACTAACTCAGGGGATGGCAAACTTCCTGTACAGGTTCAGAGAGTGAATATTGTCAGCCATTCAAGCCATATGCCCTCTGTCACCGATACTTAAAATTCCCATCATAGCAAGAAGGCACAGACAGTATGTAAATGGACGAGCATAGCAGTGTCCCAATAAAACTTTAGAAGAACAGGCAGTGGGGCCAGCAGATGGCATAGCAGTTACATTGCTGGACTCACACATAGCAGGCCACAGTTCAAGTCCCAGACCCAGTGGCTTGAAACTCACGCCAGACACATGTCTATGTGTGACCAAAATCCCGAGAGGAGAATGGAGGAGAAGGGATTGTGACGTGGCCATTCCCCTGGGGGGGGATTTCTCACTTTCTGTCTCTCTGGGGAGGACACATACCCTATAGCCAAAATTTCTCTTTAAAAAAAAACAAAAATAAAAACAAAACCAGGCAGCAGGCTGTATTTGCCAATGCCTGGTCTAACCAGTCCCCTACAATGATATTTATGGTAGTTCTGGTCTTACCCCCCATCCTAATTGTTTCTGCAAATTTCATGTCATTCAGGCCTGAGCCAACACAACCCTTTTAATTTCCCAGATAATAGCTCAAGCAACATACCGTTGTGATATTAATAAAGTTAACCAATTATTGACACTTCTGTGTGTCAGGGACCCAGCTTAGGTAGCTAAGGAGTTGCATTTTGCAAAATAACTTAATTTGTAACAGCCTCTTCCTTCCCATCCTATCAGAGTGGAAATGACCCAAGCGCCCCAGGGGAACCCAGAGCCCCTTCAGGGCAGTGTTTCCTTCTGGTCTCTCAGCTCAGGATTCGGCGTGTGAGCTGCTGTTCCCGTCTTCCCAGCCCAGAGCTGGACTTTATCGCTCCAGGACCAGGTCCAGGGCCAAGAGAGCAGGATCCCAGGTCTCAGAGACCTCCCCCAAGCCCCTGCCTGGGACGGTGCAGGGAGATGGTGGAGGTGCCCAGTGGTGCCCAGGGTGGCCCTCGCCCACCTCTTGACCACACTCACCCCTTCTCACCAGCGAGCCGAGGCTGCCCAGCGGGAGGTGGAAAGTCTTCGTGAACAACTGGCCTCTGTGAACAGCTCCATCCGTCTGGCCTGCTGCTCCCCGCAGGGACCCGGTGGGGTAAGGACGGGTCAGGGAAGTGAGCAGATAGAAGACTAGGAGGTGGCATTTTGTGGCTGATCGTGTACACCTATGTGAAAGTGTGAGCATGACAGCATGTGAGTGTCCGTGTGTGTGGCGTGGGCATAGTGTCTTCCTTGTGAAGACACTTCATGGTCTCCTTTTGGAGGCCTCCCTCACCTTCACATGTTCAGGATTGGCAGGCACTTCTTCAGATCCAAACTCAGTCTTATTGCCAGGTGCCCCAGCAAGGAGCCAGGGAGAGTTGAGTTTGAGCAGTAGGGCAGCGGTGCAGTTTGGGTGGCTGCCATCAGGTGCCGCTGTTGAACTCTGGTCTCAAACTGCGCGGTGCGGTGGATGCATGAGATCGCAGCGTCCTTGTTGTTTTCAGCCCCTACCAGGACTGTAGAGGGCCACGTAACAAGATCAAGGTTTTATGCTCATTCTCAGCGCTTCTTCCCAAAACACGCAGCGGGGTCTCTCACCCCAGCCACACGCTGCAAAGTCCGTCTTTAGCCACCAACATCCTGAGACTGGCCAACCAATGTATCGTCCTCTTTCCTCCTGTTTCATGTCCCTTTAGGGTCCTGCTGTCATTTCCTGCCAAGTGATTTTTTATTTTGTTTTGTTTTGAGAGAGGTTTTTGCCTCAGGAGTGGAGGAGAGGGGAGATGGTAAAGGAGGAAGTGAGAAATCACCCTCCAGGGGGATGGCCACACCACAATCCCTTTCCTCCATTCTCCTCCTGGGATCTTGGGCATGCACCCACATGCATGCACCGTGAATTTGAAGTCACGGAGTCCAGGACTTGAACCATGGTCGGCCATGTGGGAGTCCAGTGACATAACCATTACGCCATCTGCTGACCCCATTGCCAAGTGATTTTAACCAGAATCACCCAACCTACACTGCTGTCATCTATGAATGGCATCTATCCCTTCTCTCTCAGAGAGCCTTGGGTTCCTGTGTAAGTCAGCCTGCCTTCTTGCCAGATCTCCATATTCCAAGGAATTAGATTCCTTACATGGTGACCGGTCCTCACCTATGAACCCTAAGTGGCCAGCCTGGTTTTCAGTTCACCTGACACCCTGTTACACAGGCCCAGCTGCCTGCGTCTCTCCTGTTTGAATGTTAAAACGTGTCTCTGTGAACATGCGTGACTGTATATGTGTGTGTCTATTTGGGGCCTTTGGGTAAGTAACTGGATCCTTAATCTGAGTGCCTCTCTGTTTCCTCTTCTGTACAAGTAACACCTACCATGGAGATTATTGAGAAACTGACATGTAAAGTGCTAAAAATGATGCTTGGCTCATGGTGTATGTTTGGTAAATACTTGATGCTGCTGTTATTATTATTGTCATCATTATCCTTAGTGTGTCTTTGGTATATCTGAGGTGTTTTTGCCCAAGAGAGCATGTGACCTCTTTGAGCATATCCGTGTCTAAGTGAGTGTGTCTCCCTGATGCCCATGGATTTCTGAGTGAGTGTGTGTGTGTGAGCTGAGTATTCAGGAAGGTCTGTACGCCCGTGTGTGGCGTGACAGTAGGTGTGTCCTGGTGCGTTGGCCCGTGTCTGCGTCTCAGGAGACAGCGTGTGTGTGCATGAGTCTGGGTGACTGCAGAGCACAGAGTGGATGCAGTGAGGAGAGAGATGGAGAGGGTGAGAGCGCGTGAGGACGCCTCAGAGAGGACTTCGCCAATGGTTCTTAATTAACCCCTGTGGAACCCAGCAAACGCCTGTGCTAATCAGCCACCGGGAACGTGGCTGGTGTGGGGGGTGAGCTGCTCTGAGCACAACAGTGGCGCTCAATGCTAATTAATTTAATGTATTAATGGCATCCGCTTCCTGTTTTAATTGGCATTTATCTCCATGGAAGAAAGCCGGAGTTGGTAGTGGTGGATTGTTTCTTGGATTTTTGTTTTGGTTTGGTTTTTTCTTTTTTTTTTTTTAATGCTTCTTAGATTTATTTGTAACTGAGCCTGAGGCCAGGTCCCTCAAAACAACTACCTCTGCATCTTCAGGCAGGACGAAGGCCACTTCTAAAAACCAGAAAAGCGTGGATTTTGGAGCCATTAGAAAATTAGGAGGAGGCAGAAATCGCCCACCCTTAAAGTGGCCCATGACTGTAAGGTCTCAAGTCTGACCCCAGAAGTCCTTGTGGCCTGGAATGGGGACATTCCCTCTGGAATAGGACCTGGTGCTGCTCTAGATCCCCAAACCTTTGTCCATTCTATTTCTTTTTATTTCTTTTTTTGGAGAAGTTTTCGCTATAGGGCATATGTGCTCGCCAGAAAGACAGAGAGAGACAGAGAGACAGAAAGCGAGAAATCACCCCCCGGGGGGATGGTCATGCCGCAATCCCTTCTACTCCATTCTCCTCTCAGGATCTTGGGCACACACGCACACACACCCAGCATGAGTTTAAGCCACTGGGTCCAGGACTCGAACCATGGTCGACTACATGGGAGACCAGCGACTTAGCCATTACGCCAACTGCTGGTCCCTGTCCGTTCTATTTCTTCAACCATGAACACCCGCCCAGTTTCCTACCTCCTTTTGTTGTTCTTTTTTAACAAACGATTTAACAGAAGGAAACCACACGCAGGGCGCACATATGCACTCACGCGAACCGAGGCACGTTGAATTTTCCAGCCCGAGCGTGCCCCGTAGCAGCACCTGATCATCAGACAGGACATTCTTGTTCGGCTTAGGATCCAGGGGCAAGGAGGCCAGCCCTGTGCGCTTGCCCACAGCCCTCAGCCCCTCACACCCCCCTCTCCCCCAGGATAAGGTGAACTTCACATTGTGCTCCGGGCCCCGGCTGGAGGCCGCCTTGGCCTCCAAGGACAGGGAGATCCTGCGGCTGCTGAAGGACGTGCAGCACCTCCAGACCTCACTGCAGGAGCTGGAAGAGACCTCTGCCAACCAGATCGCAGACCTGGAGCGGCAGCTCACGGCCAAGTCCGAGGCCATCGAAGTAGGTCGGGGAGGAGGCGGGCAGACCCCGGGCAGGAGGGCCGCCCCAGGCTGGAGAGCTGCCTCCATCAGCCCTCCAGGCACACAGACCAGCCTTGTGTCTTTGTTTTTCTAGAAGCTGGAAGAGAAGCTCCAGGCACAGTCCGACTATGAAGAAATTAAAACAGAGCTGAGGTACTGCAGGCGGGGGGCTCCTAGACCCAGGCACTCAGCCCTGGCTGGGCAGTGGGCACCGGGCACCGGGGTCATCTTCCTCGCTCCCAGCAGAGCCCCTTTGTGCTGTTCTGTGCCCTCTCCGCCCACACCTCGAGTACCAGAACCTAGGCTTCCTCGGTCCTCCATCGAGAGCTGCCTATAGCAATACAAGGTCGCCTTCTCGGTGCGAGAGTGGTGGCCAGGAGGTGACCCGCTGACTGGCCGGTGTGGGAGCAGTTACCACTGTAGCCCCCAGGGAGCATCGTCCCTGTCACCATCACGCTTGGCAGGCGTGCGGTTGCAGCAAGTCCAGGGAGGGGCGGCTGTCCTCTGTCAGGGAAGGTGGGCGGCTCTGCACCCCACACACCCAGCATGAGTTTAAGCCACTGGGTCCAGGACTCGAACCATGGTCGACTACATGGGAGACCAGCGACTTAGCCATTACGCCAACTGCTGGTCCCTGTCCGTTCTATTTCTTCAACCATGAACACCCGCCCAGTTTCCTACCTCCTTTTGTTGTTCTTTTTTAACAAACGATTTAACAGAAGGAAACCACACGCAGGGCGCACATATGCACTCACGCGAACCGAGGCACGTTGAATTTTCCAGCCCGAGCGTGCCCCGTAGCAGCACCTGATCATCAGACAGGACATTCTTGTTCGGCTTAGGATCCAGGGGCAAGGAGGCCAGCCCTGTGCGCTTGCCCACAGCCCTCAGCCCCTCACACCCCCCTCTCCCCCAGGATAAGGTGAACTTCACATTGTGCTCCGGGCCCCGGCTGGAGGCCGCCTTGGCCTCCAAGGACAGGGAGATCCTGCGGCTGCTGAAGGACGTGCAGCACCTCCAGACCTCACTGCAGGAGCTGGAAGAGACCTCTGCCAACCAGATCGCAGACCTGGAGCGGCAGCTCACGGCCAAGTCCGAGGCCATCGAAGTAGGTCGGGGAGGAGGCGGGCAGACCCCGGGCAGGAGGGCCGCCCCAGGCTGGAGAGCTGCCTCCATCAGCCCTCCAGGCACACAGACCAGCCTTGTGTCTTTGTTTTTCTAGAAGCTGGAAGAGAAGCTCCAGGCACAGTCCGACTATGAAGAAATTAAAACAGAGCTGAGGTACTGCAGGCGGGGGGCTCCTAGACCCAGGCACTCAGCCCTGGCTGGGCAGTGGGCACCGGGCACCGGGGTCATCTTCCTCGCTCCCAGCAGAGCCCCTTTGTGCTGTTCTGTGCCCTCTCCGCCCACACCTCGAGTACCAGAACCTAGGCTTCCTCGGTCCTCCATCGAGAGCTGCCTATAGCAATACAAGGTCGCCTTCTCGGTGCGAGAGTGGTGGCCAGGAGGTGACCCGCTGACTGGCCGGTGTGGGAGCAGTTACCACTGTAGCCCCCAGGGAGCATCGTCCCTGTCACCATCACGCTTGGCAGGCGTGCGGTTGCAGCAAGTCCAGGGAGGGGCGGCTGTCCTCTGTCAGGGAAGGTGGGCGGCTCTGCACCCCAGCCAGAGGCCTGGCTGACCGTGGACCCTCTCACCTCCCGCAGCATCCTGAAAGCCATGAAGCTGGCCTCCAGCACCTGCAGCCTCCCCCAGGTAGGCGCCCCCACCGCTGTCCCTGCCGGGCCGGCTGACCCCAGTGACTGCCGCCAACCTCGCCCTCTCAGTCCTGCTTCTTGTCTCCTCAGGGCCTGGCCAAGCCCGAGGACTCGCTGCTCTTAGCTAAGGAGGCCTTCTTTCCCACGCAGAAATTCCTTCTGGAAAAGCCTGGTCTCGTGGCCAGCCCTGGTAGGGGAGGAGGGATGCTCTGGGGCTGAGGGGCAGGGGTGGGGGCTGCCCCTGGGGCTCTGGCCTTCTGCATGCCCACAGACCACAGCCTTCCCTGAGAGCAGGGAGCCAAGGGTGTGTGTCGACTGAGTGCCTGTCCCACGCCGGGTCCCCCCACATCTAGGCCCTCCTCTGGGTCACACAGCTCGCTCCGGCCCTCCCAAGTCCCCCCAAGGCTCCACTCACCCCAAGCCTTCATGAGCAGTGGAGGCTTTAGTGATAAGGTCAGGGGGTAGGGGAGCGAGGAGGGCGTTCACGTCCACCCTCACCGCCAACCCTGATGACGGCCTAAGATTGGGCTGGTGCCGCCATCACCCCTCCTGCCCACAGCGTGGCCCTGTGATCGCATAGCCTCGTGATCCTGGGCGAGACTCTGTGCTGCCTTGCCTTCTTTTTTAAAGAATTATTTATTTGGGACCAGCAGTTAGCGTGATGGCTATGTCGCTGGACTCCCATGTAGTCAACCACGGTTCAAGTCCCGGACCTGGTGGCTTAAACTCACACCAGGCGCACGTGCGTGCGTGCCCAAGATCCTGAGAGGAGAATGGAGGAGAAGGGATTGCGGCGTGGCCATCACCCGTGGGGGGTGATTTCTCACTTTCTGTCTTTCTGTCTCCCTCTGTCTTTCTGGCACATGCACCCTATAGAAAAAACCTCTCCAAAAAATTATTTATTTAATTTTATTTATTCATTCACTTTATTTTAATTTGAATACACATGGAGAGAAAGAGAGAGAGAGAGGGAAAGTGAGAAAGCAAGCCACCAGGTCCGAGACTCGAACCATGGTCGGCCATGTGGGAGTGTCCAGCACCTTAACCACCCGCCACCTGCTGGTCCCCATGCCTGGTTTTCTTATCTATAAAATGAAGACAGTACTGGGACCTTGTGGTGCTGCGGGGCCAGGTGTGAAGCACACGGGAAGCACAGGGCCAGGTGCCCAGGAAGGGACTGTCTGCGGGTGGTGGTTCGTCCCGACTCCCCCTCAGGGAGGCCGGGCTGGGCTATAGCATGTGCTCGAGTGCTCTTGGTGACAGGCGGGGCTGCTCAGCTTGCCTGTGTGGGGCCCCGTGGAACGGGGAGGGCACTCAGAGCCGCTGAATGCAGCTAACACCCCCTTCTGCCTCTCTTGCCCTCCACCACCCCTGCCCCATCTCTCCTCGTTCTCCTTCCCTCTCTCTGAGTTTCTGTCCCTGCGTGTGTCTCTGTCTTTCACCGTCTGCCTCCCTCTTTCTCCCTCGTTCCCTCTCCTTTCTGTCTCTCATTCTGACATTATCTGTTTCCTGATTGCTGTCTCCCTCATTGTCTCTCTATCTCTGTGTCTCTCTCACACACGCATGGCTTCTTCTCTCTTGGTCTCTGTCTCGCTCACATTGTCTCCCTCATTTTCTCTCTACCTCTATGTCTCTGTCCATCCGTCTGTCTCTCTGGACCTTCTAGAGGAGGATCCTTCGGAGGACGATTCTATCAAAGACTCGCTGGGCCCGGAACAGCCCTACCCCTCCCCTCAGCAGCTCCCGCCTCCACCAGGGCCTGAAGACGCCCTGTCCCCCAGCCCTGGGCAGCCCCTGCTGGGCCCCGGCCTGGGCCCCGACGGCCCTCGGACTTTCTCGCTGTCCCCCTTCCCCAGCCTGACTGGGGAGAGGTTGGCAGGGGATGCGCTGCTGTCTAAGCACATGATGGCCCCGGCCGCCTTCAAGGGGGAGGCAGGTGGCCTGCTGGTGCTCCCTCCCACCTTTTATGGCACCAAGCCCCCCACGGCCCCTGCCACCCCGGCCCCTGGCCCGGAGCCACCCGGGGGCCCTGAGCAGGCCGACGGGGGTGGCGGCTGTGCAGCGGGGGCGGGCCCGGAGGAGGAGCAGCTGGACACGGCTGAGATCGCCTTCCAGGTGAAGGAGCAGCTGCTCAAGCACAACATCGGCCAGCGCGTGTTCGGTCACTACGTGCTGGGGCTGTCGCAGGGCTCGGTCAGCGAGATCCTGGCCCGGCCCAAGCCCTGGCGCAAGCTCACGGTGAAGGGCAAGGAGCCCTTCATCAAGATGAAGCAGTTCCTGTCTGACGAGCAGAATGTGCTGGCCCTCAGGACCATCCAGGTGCGACAGCGAGGTGAGCCCAGTCCAGGCGACGGCAGGGGCTGAGGGCTCCGCGCTGCCCCCTGCCCACTGTGAGACCAGGGCAAGTGCCTCGGTTTCCCCCTCCTTAGAGCCTGGGGCCACCCCGCCTCCCCACCCGGTCCTCCTGCGGCGGCTCAGCTGGTGCTGGGAAGGGCTGGGCCCCTGGGCCTGTCCAGGACAGTTACACACCATCAGATGGCCAGGGTGGGCGCCAGCCTCGCCACCTTCCATGTCTGGGTGATCGGCGTGCTCCAGGTTCTGACCTCCAATCACCTGGGTTTGGGTCCCAGTGCTGTTTGCCACTGGGTAACCTCAGACAACTCACTGTAGCTACCCTGAGCCCCAGTTTCCCCGTCTCAGCCTCCAGGGAGGCCCCTGAGGGCCGTGGCCACAACACTGGCACGCAGCAGCTGCTGAGAGCCGTGAGCTGCGTGGTCGTCATCCTCGTCACTGTCCTTGGATGAGAAGACAGTGATTTCAGCAGACCCCATGTAGGTCCAGTTTGTCACAGACCACGCGGCGGCCCTGCCACACTCACTGACGGTCCTGGAGCCCCTCAGGAGGAGGGGAGTGCCCCCCCACCAAGCTTCAGGGACTGACCCCCCAACATTTGGATCCTTGTGACAGACACCGTCTTGCCTCCCCCAGGCAGTATCACCCCAAGAATCCGCACCCCTGAGACAGGCTCGGATGATGCCATCAAGAGCATCCTGGAGCAGGCCAAGAAGGAGATCGAGTCGCAGAAGGGGGGTGAGTGGGACGTCACTGGTGAGGGCTCGGGCCTCCAGACCTTCTCTGAGAGGGGGCGAAGCCTCATTGCTTTCATCTACCCAGAGGACGTTCCAAGTGGGCCAGAACCTCCGCGGCCAGAGAGATCTTTCTAGAGCACATACATGGCCATGTCATCGCTCAGAACCCAGCCGTGGCTCCCCACTGCCCTCTAATCAAATTCCAACTCCTCCACGAGGCCTGTTTTTTCACTGCCAGAGGGCATGTGCACTTACAGGGTGGGGCGGGGTAGAGAAAACCCTCCCGATGTGGCATAGCCCCTTCCCTCCATCCGTCCATCCTGTCTGGACTAGGGACACACATGCACATGTGTCTGGCATGTTTTCTAAACCGCTGGGGCTAGGACTCACTATGGTCAGCCACGTGAGATTCAGCTCCCTTAACCACTAGGCCACAGGCCTGGCCCATCAATGAGGCCGGTCGCCCCGGCAGTCTTGAGTCTCCGCCAGCCCTCCACACCTTCCACATACGCGGTGCGTGGTCAGGCCAAGCCTCATGGTCCCTGCATCCCTGATGCCTTCTTCACCTGCTTAACTCCTGCTCATTTATCACTGCTGAGCTCAGTCACCTCCTCTAGAAATGCCCCAGCCCCATCCAGATGGAGGGGCTTCTGCCCCTCCTGTGTCTCCCCCTAATTACCCATATGCTCAGCGCAGTGGAGCCGGACTGGCCACAGGTCCTGGCCCTGCTGTTTACTGGCTATGCGACCTTGGCCAGGTTGCTTAGCCTCTCGTGCCTCCATTGTCTCTTCTTTAAAATGAGGACAGTATCAGTACTCCTTCTGCGGGTCACGTGAGGATCAAATGAGACCAGCCTGGCCAGTGTTCAGCCTGGGGCCGGGCACATGGACAGTGCTCCTGGGAGCTCAGCCATCGTGAGTTAACTGTATCATGATTGCTTTGCTGTCACTGCAGTCAGCACCTCCCATTGGTCAGAGGGCTTCTCCTAGCCAGGGCCAGAGTGGCATCCCAGCACCGGCACAGCCTTGGCTCAGCCTAGCACAGCAGACCGCAGCCGGCCTGGACCTGGGAAGCTGGGATTCAGCGCTCCCAGCCCATGTGCAGAGTCTGCTGCCCCCTGGTGGCTGCTCAGAGCAGGTGTCCCGATTCCCAAGGTGCCTCCACTCACCGCTAGGAACCAAGACGTTTTCCAGTGGGCCTCCCTCCTGCCTTCTCCTGGGACCGGGAAAGGGAGACAGGACTTACCCTGCTAAGGGCCCAGACCTCCGTACTCATAATCCCGAGCCCTCACAGTGTACGTCTTTATGCACTGCAGTTTATTTCTTCTCGTCAGGTCTAGGAATAAAAGATGCAAGGCACAGGTGAAATCACACAGTGAACATTAAGTACCTACTGTGTGTTAGACATGGGTTACAGATCTGGGCGAGATGTGACGCCGGAGTGAAAAGAACCACGAGGATCCATCTAGTCTAACTCTCCCACTAGGCAGACTGGACAATCGAGTCCAAAGGGGAAAGACGAGGTCACTGTTGTGCAGAGACTGAAGGGGCATAGGTCTCGGCTTTTCCCTGGGGCTCAGAGACAGGAAGCAGTGTCACCCCGGAGGGCCAGCCAGTGGGTGCACAGTCAGGACTGCCAAGCCCTCCACAGGAGGAGAGGACTGAGACGGTCACGTCGTGCCCTGGCCAAAGTGAGCACTGAGCAGAGGGCACTCAGGCTGGCCCCAGGGAGCAGACTGCCAATTCAGGAGTTCTGCTTCTGGGGATGGAAGAAAATGGCCAGAACGCGGCCGGAGAGTTCCATGCCAGCTATCCCTACGTCACTGCTTACAGCTGTGACAAACGGCACAACCCGAGTGTCCAGCAGTGGGGCATCAGGTGAGCAAAGCTAGTAACACCCTTCAGTGATGTTTGCAGCCATTAGCTAGAAGAACTTGGGTCGGCTCCATGGCCTGGTGGTTACGGCAGCTGGATCCCACACAGCTGACTGCTTGGTCTGAGTGCCAGACTCCAAACCTGAGAACCATGCTGGACATGTGTGCACGCGTGCCCAAAATCCCGAAAAGGGAGAGTGAAAGAGCAGAAGGGATTGCAGTGTGACCACACCCCACGGCAACTGTTTTCTCCTCTCCCTCTCTGTCTCTCTGTCTCTCTCTGGCAAGCACACACACCACTAGCAAGTACAATATAACTATATATATATTAACTATATATTTTTTTTTGATAGGAAAAAACACATTTGTACTAAGTGGGGACAAATCATGTCACTCTTCCCCCATACGAAATGTGATCAGCCTGTGCATGTAGTTTTAAAAGCAGACTGGGGACCAGTAGATGGCATAATGGTTACATTGCTGGACTCCGACATAGTCAACCATGGTTCAAGTCCTAGAACCGGCACCTTAAAACTCACGCCAGGCACATGTGCATCCATGCCCAAAATCCCGAGAGGAAAATGGAGGAGAAGGGATTGCAGCATGCCCATTCCCATGAGGGATGATGTCTCGCTTTCTGTCTCTGTCTCTCCAGCATACACATCATGCACCCTTATAGCAAAAAAAAAGAAAAGAAAAAGAAAACTCTCTTTTAAATAAAAGAAAGCACACTAGAAGGAGACAAGGGAAGGTGTCTCGTGGTTGCCTCAGGGAGAGAAAATAGGAGAATTTTTATTTGCATCTTAACTTTTTGTACTTGGTTTTATGCTCTCCACAATTGGCATGTATGACTTTTTTTTAGGTGAAATTCACATGACATAAAGTTAATCTTGTAAAGGATTTTTTACCACAGGGCATGTACACTTGCCAGAGACCGAGAGAGAAACCAAGAAATCATCCCCAGGATTGGGAGGGTAGCCACACTACAGTCCCTTCTCTTCCATTCTTCTATTCGGATTTTGGGCCTGCACACACACACACCTGGCATGTTTTTCTGGCCAGTGGGTCTGGGACTCGAACCACAGAATTGGCTATGTGGGATCCAGCACCTTAGCCATTCGGATTTTGGGCCTGCACACACACACACCTGGCATGTTTTTCTGGCCAGTGGGTCTGGGACTCGAACCACAGAATCGGCTATGTGGGATCCAGCACCTTAGCCACAATACCACTTGCTAGCCCTAAAATTAACTTTAAAATGTACAACTCGTTGGCATTTAGTTCACTCGTAGTGTTAATGCAACCATCATCTTACTATTTGCTGTTTTGGAGCTTAAAAAAAACATGTTATAGGGACCAGCAGTTAGCATAATGGCTATGTTGCTGGACTCCCCTGTAGTCGACCATGGTTCAAGTCCCAGACCTGGGGGCTTAAATTCACACGGGGCGTGTGTGCGGGCATGCCCCAGATCCCAAGAGGAGAATGGAGAAGGGATTGCAGCGTGGCCATCCCCCTTGGGGGGTGATTTCTCGCTTTCTGTCTCTCTGTCTTTCTGGCAAGCGCACGCACCCTATAGCAAAAACCTCTCAAAAGTAAATAAATAAATGTTATGGGACCAGCAGGTGGCATGGTGGTTAAGGCACTGGACTCCCACATGGTCAACCACAGTTTGAGTCCCAGACCAGGCAGCTTGCTTTCTCACTCTCTTGTCTCTCTCTCAAGTGCACACACCCTGTAGCAAATTTAAAAATAACAATAATGATAAATAAATAATTATTTTTAAAAACATATTATACCATCCGTTATCATCTGAGACCTTTTTTTGCCAAGTATTACGTTATTAAGCTTCATGCATGATTTTGCACAGTGACCTCCTCACTGCTGTATAGTACCCCACCGTGTGGCCATGCCACTGTTTATTGTCCATTCTCCTGCCTGTGGTATTTGGGGCTCACACCTTTATTTTACAATTAGAGGTGAAAGAGCCACATCGATGTGCTCCAACACTGTCTGCGAACATTCGCATGACTGGAGCACAGGTGAGTCCTCCTCCCGCCTTACCTTACGCCCCTGGGTGTGCTCCCCGCTGAACTCGCTGTCCACCTGGTCCTTAATGGCTGCCACCCAGCGGCCTGTAGTTTCCGTCACCAGCCCGCAGCTCTTGGGCACAGAGCTTGCTTCGGTTTTGGTCTAAATACTGATCCTGTGAGCTTCAGCCCTTGAGGCCAAGCCTGAGGAAGGGCCCCTGGGTCACCCCGTCACCCTCCCCACAGGCGAGCCCAAGAACTCCGCAGCACCGTTGAGCATCACCAATGGCACTGCCTCTGCCAGCACCTCGGAAGATGCCATCAAGAACATTCTGGAACAAGCACGCCGTGAGATGCAGGCGCAGCAGCAGGCCCTGCTGGAGATGGAGACGGGCCCCCGGGGCCGCTCGGTGCCCCCCTCACCGCCGGAGCGACCCTCACTGGCTGCTGTGAGCCAGAACGGGGCCCCAACTTACGTCAAGCAGGAGGACAGCAGTGGTGGTGGCAGCGGGGGCACCAGCAGCAGCGCCACGCAGACGTCCCTCACTGTCCTGTCCCCCGCCGCCTTCGTGCAAAGCATCATCCGTAAGGTCAAGTCGGAGATCGGTGACGCGGGCTACTTTGACCACCACTGGGCCTCGGACCGCGGCCTGCTCAGCCGCCCCTACGCCTCTGTCTCGCCCTCACTCTCCTCCTCCTCTTCCAGCTACTCTGGCCAGCCCAATGGGCGTGCCTGGCCCCGCGGGGATGAGGCCCCCACAGCCCCCGAGGACGAGGCCGCCGGGGGCGAGGATGAGCCCCCCCGGGTGGGCGAGCTCAAGGTGGAGGGGGGAGTCGCCGAGGCTGGCAGCGGGAGCCGGCTGGCCTACTACCCGGCCTACGTGCCCCGCACCCTGAAGCCCACGGTGCCGCCCCTGACTCCCGAGCAGTACGAGCTGTACATGTACCGCGAGGTGGACACGCTGGAGCTCACACGCCAGGTCAAGGAGAAGCTGGCCAAGAACGGGATCTGCCAGAGGATCTTCGGGGAGAAGGTGGGCCCCCGGGGAGGGCTTTGGGCATTCTCTGTGGTCTGGATGGAAGTAGGGTCCCAACCCAGCAGGAAGGCACAACCCCAAAAGCCCAAGCCCTTTTCTCTGTGTCCAGCTGCTCTGGGCCCAGTGGGAAGAGGAGTATGGACAAGCCTGGGGTTCCCTCCTGTGGTTGTTAAAATGGAATGTCTCCATCCTGGGGGGTGAGTGGCCATTACCTCCCCTCCTTTAGGGCCCTCCGTAACTTCCATGTTCCAGACACTAAAGGGGTTACGGCTTACCCCAGCCAGGGGCCTCCAGCGTGTCCCCTGGTCGGCACCCCTGTAGGATCCGTGTGAAGTGGACCTCTGCCTTTGGCGAGGAGCAGGCCAAGACCGAGGCAAGCTCAGAGGAGGGAGAAACGAGAAGGCCAGGAGGGCTTCCCAGGGGCAGGGGGCACTTGAAGGGTCTTAAATTAGGGCAGGCAGGGCTGCAGGAGGGCACTGACGTGTAAGTGCAGCAGGTCCCTGCAATACGCAGGACAGACAAGGGCAGCCTGGTCCCCCAGGGCCTTGGGAAGGAGAGGGCCGGGCCAGTGTACGGGTGGCCTGCTGACCTGCCCTCCCGCCTGACGGCCCGCAGGTGCTGGGCCTGTCACAGGGCAGTGTGAGCGACATGCTGTCTCGGCCGAAGCCATGGAGCAAGCTGACGCAGAAGGGGCGGGAGCCCTTCATCCGCATGCAACTGTGGCTCTCGGACCAGCTGGGCCAGGCGGGGGGCCAGCAGCCCAGCGCCTCCCAGGGTGAGTGCAGCTGCCCTCCAGGGCCCCACTGTCCCTACCTGCAGAGGGGCCTGGCTCTGCCATGGGGCAGTGGCGCGAACGTCTGACCTCACTGCCTGCATCAGCCCCTCTTCTCTGTCCCCACTGCCCACTTGGGTCCTGGCTGCCATGGCTGCCCTCCTGGAAGACTGCAGCATCTCTCCGCTGGTCTCCCCATCCCCTTCCTTCCTCCAGCCCCAGGGATATGTCTTAAAGGCACATCTGAGGTAGCATGCAGTTTTAGCCACGAGGCAGCACCAGAGTGCCTGTAGCAGGTGGAGAAAAATACGAATAGTTCTCATGTGCAGCCGCACCCCCGGGTCCCACATCTGGAATCCCAGTTGATCTACGCTCCTTTCCCCAGAGATCCAGCGTGCAGCCTCAGAATCCCTAGCACAAGGCCTCAGGCAGCTGTGACATGTTCTTCAATGACGACACGGGCAGGGTGGGGTCTGAGCTTGCTGGGTAAAGAGATGGAGGCTCAGAGCTGGGGGAAACTCCCCTGTGCCCAGCTGCTCCCTGATGAGGCCTCCACCCACCTGCGCTGGAGCGAGGGCTCGCGGCTGCACAGACGCCCCCGCCCGCCCGCCAGGCTCAGAACTGGGGGAAACTCCCTTCCCTGTGCCCAGCTGCTCCCTGATGAGGCCTCCACCCACCTGCGCTGGAGCGAGGGCTCGCGGCTGCACAGACGCCACAGCCAGCCTGCCCACTGAGTCCAGAGAAGCAGGGTGGGCACCGAGCCTCATCCCAGCTTCCCCATCTGTGGGTGGGGGCGGAGACCTCAGGTTCACCGAGATGACCCGGACCAACGACACGGGTCACCGGGAACACAGATCAGGAACACAGTGAGAGGGAAGAAGCCAGTCCCAGAGTTCACTTTAGAAGTTAGCTCCCATGGGACCCCCTGTGCCTTAGGGCTACCAGGCCGTGTTAAAATGGGAAAAGGGGGCCAGCGGGTGGTGTGGTGGTTATGGCAGCCAGATCCCACATGGTTAACTGCGGTTCAAGTCCCGGACCCAGTGGTTTGAAAATGACACCAGACACATGTGCGTGCCCACGATCCTGGGAGGAAAGAAGCAGAAGAGATTGCAGTGTGGCCATTTCCCCTGAGGGCAACTTCTCACTTTCCCTTTCACTGTCTCTGTCTCTCTCTCTGGCAAACATACATGCCATAAGGCAAAAGCCTCTTAAAAAATAAAACAAACAAACAAACAAACAATACCAGCAGGTGGCGTGGTGGTTATAGCAGTCTGATCCCACATGGCCAACTACGTATTTGAAGTCCTGGACCCAGTGGCTTTAAAAACATGCCAGGCACATTTGCATGCATGCCCAAAATCCCAAGTAGAATGGAGAAGGGACTGCGGCATGGCCATCGCCCCTGGGGGGTGCTTTCTCTCTCTCTCTTTCTCTATCTCTCTCTGCCTGTTCCTCTTCAGTGAACACATGCACCCTGTAGCAAATTTTTTAAATTAAAAAAATATAATAAAGAGAGAGAAAGCCAGACACACACCAGCCTGGGAAGAGGGACTGCTCTGGGCACAGGG